TGAGGTATGTACCAAAAGTGCTTGTCCAAAAGGCAACTGGACTTTTTTTCCTTCTTGAAAACATTTCGCTTCTCCGCCAAGAAGCTTCTTCACAACTAAGAAGCATTTTGAATGAGAAGCGAAACATTTTCCAGGAAGAAAAAAACAAAACAAGAAAGTCCAGTTGCCTTTTGGAAAAAGCACCTTTGGGACAAGCGTGACCCATGGATGATTGAGCATCTCCATAAACATTTGAGATGTGTCGTCCCCACTTTCTGGACACATAATCCGTGACTGTTCTCAGCACGTGTCCTTCTCTCTTTCTGAAAAGAACTAGCCCACAATGCTTCCCAAAACCTGGCATTTATCAACAGATTTCCCCTTCCGAGCCTGAAGCCTTTGCTTTGTCTCAGAGGAGAAACACAACAAATCTGATAATGCCACCCCGCTCGCTGGCATAGCCAAGACCCTGAGAAGTAATCACAGACTGGCCGGGCCCAACTTTTCAAGCGCAAATGGCTAATTCCCAGGCACTCTATCCATAATTATCTAAAATACCAGTTCCATGTAAAAATGGCATACAACCATCCATCTTGTTTAATTTAGTTGCTAAAGGAAAGGCTGGTTTTGACACGTTATCATGTTCCTGGCTATTTACAAAATGGCAGGATAATATTAGATGTCTTTGTGTACTACCCTGTAATTGATGTTCTGCTTTGTTAACAGTAAAATCTATAAAGATTTCTGAATGGAAGGGGGGGTATCCAAATATATATATATATATGAGTAAAACCATCAGGAATGATATCACTGAAGAGGCAACGTTGAGGGGAACCACAAACATGCTCCATTTTTTTTAAAAAATGGAATTGATACAACCTAATTTAACGGGGAGTGCGTTTTTTTTTTAAATTTTGCTTGGTTTTGGATAGTTCTCTGCACTTTTTCTAGAGTCTCAACATCTTTTTAATAGTGTGGTGACCAAAACTGATTGCAGTATTCTAGGTGTGGTCTTACTAAGGCTTTATAGAGTGGTATTAGTACCACGTCATCTTGATTGAATCCCTCTGTTAATGCAACTTAGGATTGCATTAGCTTTTTTGGCTGCCACCGCACACTGTTGACTCAGATTTAATGAATTGTCCACTAAGACTCCAAGATCTCTTTCGCAGTTGCTGCTAATAAGCCTGGTTTCACCCAATCTATATGTGTACTTTTGGTTTTTCTTGAGAACACGGAAATTCATACTCCTAACAGAGAATATGAAGATAGGGTTTGCTAACGTTGTAGTTCAGTCGCTAAGTCTTGTCCGACTCTTTGCGACCCCATGGAGCACAGCACGCCAGTTCCCCCCTGTCCACCACTGTCTCCCAGTTGGCCCAAATTCACGTTCGTTCCATCAATGGCACTACCTAACCATCTCATCATCTATAGTCCCCTATTTCTTTTGCCTCTCTTCTCCTTTGGTGTCCAAAGTACTTGAGCTTCATCCTCAGTATCTGTCCTTCCAAAGAACAGTCAGGGTTGGTTCCCTTTAGGATAGTTAATGTTAGGCAGATCAACTTAAAATGTCCAGCCTCTGTTTCAGCAGCCGTAGACCTTCCTACGTGGAACAAATCGGCCTGGAGGACTGGTGTGTGTGTGTGTGTGTGTGTGTGTGTGTGTGTGTGTGTGTGTGTGTGTGTGAAGCATAGCCCCCACAACTGACCCATAGACATAGTGTAATTTTTTATCCGCAGGAGTTAGAATTCAAGAAGCAACTGGTGATCCTTCCATCCGTCTTCTTATTCAGGGCAACTAGCAGGCCCAACTATCTCCATACAAATGATAAGCCAGACTTCAATACACCATTGCTTAACAGTATCAAAATACAAGTGTGCAAAATTGATAGGAAAATATTTACGAAAGCCAGCAAGCCAAATAATTCAACAGAGCCGTAACTTGGCATTTTGCCTTTCAATAGCTCGTCATTATTCCTAGACAGATAAAGTCTGTGTCTTGAAAGAGGCGAGTGTATTAGCATTTAATCCTTAATTACATGGGTAAGTTGCCTTGTTGACAAAGGGCATCTGAAATAACTGGTGAAGAAATAGCAAAGGGGGTTTTGTTGTTCACACACTGCCAGTTTGTTTTTTCTCACTTGGATAAAAAAAATTATTATTTTTTTAAACGTTTCAATTGAATTTTGTACTCTTCGCCTGGAATCACCTATGTGGGAGTTGTGGGACTCACCCATGGGTGCCTATATAAATGTGTTTCATCAATAAAAGAAATGAATACATGAGCATCTTTTTTCCTACCCCTTCTCCCCCATCAAAGCAGAGCTGGGGGAGGTAGAGGCCATCCCAAAGAATTCCCCTTTCCCTGTTTTTCAAAAGGGCCACCACCTTGACTTTTTTTTGACCGTGCCCCGTGGACATTCCTGCCTTCCCTGTCTACCCAACTCAAACGTTACAGTTTTGCACCCTGAGTTGATCTGCTGCAACATCACCGAAGTTTTCAGGCTTCAAAGAACCGTGGCATAGCAAACCAACCAACAACGACGCAAGTCGCGGTCAAAGGCGCCCGAATTCCAACCACAACAAAAGCTCTTTAAGCCAGCTGAATCCCCTCTAGCTTCGCAATGCTTCTCTTCCCCCGACGAAGCCCTCTGAAGGACCCGAAAGCTTGCAGAGTTTGGTTCCCTGCGCCAAATTCCGCCGCCGCCAGCCCTGGTCGGCTGATCCGCGCCGCTTCCCAAAGTCTTTTCTTCCCAGGACTTTTAAGCCTCCCTCCATCCCTCCCTCCCTGCCTTGGGCCCCAAGCCGGACAAGGCCTTCCTAGCGGACTCACATGATGCCCCCGCAGCCCCCCAAGCCCGGTCGCCTGCCTGCCTGCTTGCCCGCGCGCTCCAGTCTTGCAAGTGCGCGCCTCCAGTCTTGCAAGATGCATCTGACTCAGGATCAGCCGAGAAGCCGCCGGGCGCCCTGCGCGGTCGCCGTGGCTCTGGGGCTGCTGTGGGGGACCGGAGGCTTTGCAGGGGGGCTTCCTACGCCGGGGCCGAGCCCTCAACCCCTCCGCGAGGATCCAGGTAAGGCCGGGCTTTTGCAGCTGCCGCTCCGTGTCCTGCGCGCACCTATCCCGGGAAACGGGGTCCTTAGGAAGTTGGGGCGCTTTCCCCCCTCTTCTGGACTCGTCTACTTGTGAGAAAGTTGTACCCGGTGCAGCCAGCTTGCTCTCAGATAAATCCTTGCAGGCGCAGGCAATGAAAGATGAGGATGAGGATGGTAAAAACGCGTGCATTCTGGTTTAAATTCATGGGACCCGCGGCAGCCAAATGAATAATGAGCATGTTTTGAGGGATAAGATGGTCTCAAGGTTGTGAGTTCAGAGCTGGCATTCTAGAGAGTGCTTTGCGGTCATTGTGTAGACTGTAGTGGTCCTTCCCAGCTCAGCAATCTTCATGAAATGGAAGGGCTTGGTGTCTGCAGAAGGGGCTCTGCCTGGAAAAGTTTAGTCTTGTTTGGGGATGTCACGAGGGACTTTTAGGCTGCTCCATGTTTTCTGCCGCCTGGGAAAGCCAAGGGAAATCATCAAAACAATTAAAAAACAAAAATTAGAATATTTCGGATATGTGATGCGGCACCCAGAAAAACACGGCATACTCCATTTAATCCTCCAGGGAAAGATGGAAGGCAAACGAGGTCCAGGCAGAAGAAGAACATCGTGGCTTCAAAATCTAAGGGACTGGTTTGGACAAAACTCAGCAGCACTTTTTCGTGCGGCTGCTGATAAAAACAGGATCGCCAACATGATTGCCAACGTCCGATAATGGATATGGCACAAGAAGAAGAAGAAGTTTTCTGCTAATAGTCTACGGAGATTCTCAGTCATTCAGGTTGTGGTTGTGTCCCAAAGGTGCTTTTTCTAAAGACAACTGGACTTTGTTTTTCCTAGAAGACGTTTCCTTGAAGAAGCTCCAAGTTTGTCTTAGCTTCAGCAGTTCTGAAGAAGCTTCTTGGACGAGAAGCGAAACATCTTCAAGGGGAAACAAAGTCCAGTTGCCTTTTGAAAAAGCACCTTTGGGACATTTCTGCTAATAGGTGGGAAATGACTAGGAAGAGGACCACACCTGCAGGGATGATGGGGGTAGAGATCCCAGCAGCCTCTTCTTCCAAGAGCAGAAAACATTTTGGGGGGTTGCCCCAAAGATGCTTTTTCCAAAAGGCAACGGGACTTTCTTGGTTTTTTTCCCTTGAAAACGTTTCGCTCCATATCCAAAAAGCTGCTTCTTCAGAACTGAAGACGCTTCTGGCAAGTGCAGCCAAATGTTTTCAAGGAAAAAATCATAGAAGTCTAGTAGCCTTTTGGAAAAAAGCACCTTTGGGACAACCATGACCTGGATATGACTGAGAATCTCCATAGACATTTTGAAGAATTAGATGAGAATAGTAAGGATAAGTACATTTAGCGAGAGCCATGTATTTTATATTTTTTAAGCTAAGGGGTTTTTTTTAAGCTATTTCTCCCAGAAAATAGGAAGACCATCCTTGTAACTTCTGCATTGCCCTCCGGTTCTTCAAAGTAAATCTACCAAGGCAGTGATGGCGAACGTTTTAGAGACCGAGTGCCCAAACTGCAACCCACTTATACATCGTCAAGTGCCGGGTGGGTGTGGCCCATTGGGTGGGTGTGGCCCATTGGGTGGGCGTGACCCATTGGGTGGGCATGATTGCGGTGTTTAGAGCAGTGGGACTAAAAAGTTCAATCAATCAATTCCAACTTTGCAAGATTTTTTTTCCCACAAGAAGTTGAAATTGACTGATTGAATCTTTTTTTTTTTTTTTTGCACACGGCGGCGGAGGCCTAAAGCGAAAAGGTTTTATAAAACCCAGCTGAAGGCCTAGGACTGGAGCGACGGCGAGCATGCCCACAGAGAGGGCTCTGAGTGCCGCCTCTGGCACCCGTGCCATAGGTTCGCCACCACTGTACTAAGGCAGCCGAGATGTGCTTCCTGTGAAATTTGCTTTGCAGAAAACAAAAGCCGGTGTGTTCTCTCCCCATCGTCGGAATTCCCTGACGGGTTTTTCACTCCGCAAGAACGAGCCGAAGGCGGCATCGTGATCTATTTCATCATCATTTTTTACATGTTCCTGGCAGTGTCCATTGTCTGTGATGACTACTTCCTCCCAGCTTTGGAGATGATCAGTCACAGTAAGTCCCTGATGTGGGTCTGCCCTGGGCTATCTTATCCCCTTCGCAGAAAACCCAATTGCTGTTCGAGACAGTTCTGTGCACAATTGCTTCTGCGGTTTAGGAAAAGTTATGCAGTGTTTTGTGGCTTATTATATTTCCTACGTTATAGGAAAAGGATCTGAAGCGAGGAGCATTATGGCTGGCAAAGAATTCAAGGATTATTTCTTGGGCTTGATCAGAACTGAACAAACAGCCTCCTTTGTAGAGTCAGAGTGCTGGGGGCATATTCGTCTCCTCGGCAGATAAAAAGGATTTGGGAAAGTAGCTATGAAATGTGTTGCGGACCAAAGTCAAATTTTTGAGAGAATATTGGCAGCACCCACATAATGGGTTGAGCCAGGGCTAACTCCTTTCTTCGTTATTTCAACTTATATGGCCACCCGCTTCAAATACATGTATAACTCTGGGCACTTTACCACACTTAAAAAAATTAAATAAAAACAATATAAAAACCATGGTTAATGAAGTTTCCTCCCAACTCACCAGGTTCGTATACACAATGGCCAATATGTTAAACCCATGGAGCTGGCTCTCGCAACGTGCTAGGCTAAACTGTGGTTGACACTAAGAATTAAAATTCCAATCTTTTCTTCACTAACCAATGGGCTGTTAGGGTAAGTTGCCATTTCTGGCTAGGAGAACTGGCCAGCTGTGGAGCAGAAATCTCGGCTTACTCTAAAATGGTTTAAACACAACCTATTGAAGAGTAAGCCGGATCCATGTAACGTATTGATCCATATGTTTACAGATCACAGGGAGTTAATTCACACCAAACACTAAGCCAAATCTAAGATGCTTCGACTGCACATTGCCATCTTTTTTGACACACACACTCTTCGTCAATATCCCTGCCCATCTCCCTTCTTGTTGCTTTACACAACTGAGTGTACTCTGAGCTAAATCATGGTTTTTCAACCATAGTTATTGAGTAGTTTTCCCTTCCTCCAATGAAGGGCCTTTATGCCTCTCTCTCCTCTCTCTCTCTTTCTCTCTCCTATCAATCTATCATCTATCTATCTACGGTATCATCTATCTATCATCTATCTGAGGATCTGTGGGGGCGCAGTGGTTAGAATGCAGTATTGCAGGCTAATTCAACTCACTGCCAGGAGTTCGATCCTGACCGGCTCAAGGTTGACTCAACCTTCCATCCTTCCGAGGTCGGTAAAATGAGGACCCAGATTGTTGGGGGCAAATATGCTGACTCTGTAAACCACTTAGAGAGAGCTGTAAAGCATTATGAAGCGGTATATAAGTGTAAGTGCTATTGCTATTTATATCTATCATCTAATTTATATAAAGTATAATTATCATTCATGGACATTTTTAGTCCTATTACATCAATGTCTTGTAAGTTGTTCGGAGCGACTCGACGTGGAGAGAGATATGTAGAAGTAAGAAAAATAAAAGGAGAAGTGAAGATGTTATTCCTTGATTTTTATTCAGCCCTGATGGTTGCATGCATCTTTTCTCCTGTCCCCATTGATCCTTCCTCCAGCTCTTGGCCTCTCTCAGGATGTTGCAGGAGCAACCTTCATGGCAGCTGGCAGTTCTGCCCCCGAATTAGTCACCGCCTTTCTTGGTAAGCCCCCCACCCCTTTAACCAGCACACAGTTCAGTCTTTGCAATAGCAAAAATGGGCCCTATCAACCAATGCTTCATTTTTAGGTGTTTTTGTCACAAAGGGAGATATTGGAGTCAGCACCATCCTTGGCTCCGCCATCTACAATCTTCTCGGCATCTGTGCAGCCTGTGGACTCTTATCTGGCATGGTGCGTGCTCTCTTTTATGATTCTGCCTTCCATTTAACTGCAAAGGGAAATTAATTTGGGGCCAATTGACAGCATTTCCCAGGTAGGTTGTTATCAATTGGGGGTAACAAAAAATGTTTATCATAATAGTTACTGAGATCTTGGTACTTTTAGAAAGTTGATAGTGAGGAACATACATCCTGTAACAAGTTGTATCCAGTAATTTTACTGCAGATGGACATGTCTTAGATTAAGTAGAATGAAGTTGCTTACTGGGTGTCTTGACATTTTTAGGCCATTCTCAGATGAAATTTGGGACACGTCAACCAAAGTATGGTTGATGGTAGATCAATGGCTATTAGTCTTCATGGTAGTGGGACAGCCTCTGAAGGCCATCTGCTGGGAGATGGTAGGCTTCCATGTGTACTTAGTTGGTCCCTGGAAGAACGAACAGCTGGACTAGATGGGTCAAGGTCCAATCCAACAAGGCACTTCTTATGTTCTTGAAGCACCCATTTGTTATGAAGACTTGAAAAAGCTTGTGAAATCCAAAAGTCCTGTTGTCTGAATTATACCATCTAGGTTTCACACCTGTCTTGCTGGCCATTGTTCAGAGATTGCTTGGCTTACATTATTAGTGCTGGGGCAGTTCTGGCCATGATTGTCGACAACCAAGTTTATTGGTAAGTGATCCCTGAAAGTACCGCTCCCGCTTATTTTGTTCAGGTGAAACAGCACAGAAAGAACTGGCTGCTCGTATATGCATTGCAGATCTTCTAGAGAGGTTTGTCGCGTTTTTTTGTTTTGCCTTTCCACCCTAACTTTTAGGTGCATGGTTGGTTGATTTAAAAAGTGGATTGACTGGTTGCTTAAAGACCCACTTTAAATATTTGGGGGAGGCGATTCTGAAATATTACAGTGAGTGGGCAGCATATGCATTGAATAATTTAATTAATTTCTGCAAGGGAACACTTTTCAAGCATTATTAAGCTGCTTATGTTCATTAGAGACAAAACGAAAATTGCTCCCAAGTCCTGGAATTCATTGCTTTGAACTAGCAATCCAGCATGTGGAGTGAATATGAGCTCTAGATCATGTGGACAGCCACTCCCAAGCAGGCAGCGTCACAATGCTATGCGGAAGTTGCCAGCTCCTTATTCAACCAGACATTTTAGCAAGAGAAGATATGGAGCCTTCATTTTTTCATGCCACAGCTCCGCAGTTGAGGGCCTGAATTATCTTGAATGGTTTTTGTGTGAGAGGAATTCATTGCCACCAAGAGTTATTCTTCAACCACAGATGCAACCTGTGTTATCTCTTGCATTTGGGTCATGCATGGTGGACCTTGGAGATCTCGTGAAAGTGCAGAGCAGATGTTCTAGTGAAATCTGCCTGTTTTTGATGCCGACTAGATAGAACCTGATACGATTTGATTTCTTCTGGTCACTCACTTTTCAAGCACAAAGTCTGCAAGTGGAGCTAGTCAGACCTAGAAAATTTTGTTCAATGTAGAGCATATGTATTGCCATGAAAAGGTCCCAGATTCAAACCGTACAATCTGCAGGAACAGCTGGAAAACACTCCTGTACTGAACTCAAGAACAATTGCTAGCGCGATGGAAAATGCAAGGTACAGACTTGCTTCACCCAGTCTTGTCACGGTTGGTGATTGGACAAGCTGGCTAGGTTTGCCTGCCACATCAAACCAAAGTGGGTGGTTTCACACAGCTTGCTAAGCCCACATTGACGCAAAGTTTTTACTTTGTCTTAGGTATGAATGTGCTTCGCTCCTGTTAATATATGGAGTCTATATTTTAGTACTCTGCTTTGACATTAAAATCAACCAATATTTCATGAGCAAGTTTAGTCCTTGCTGTACCTGTCTCTTGGTGACCACAGAAGAGGCTGAAGACCAGCCACTGTCTGGATGGAGGGACGAGACGCAACCTCTAGTTCGGCGACAATCAAGACCTGACGACATTTTCCATGACTCTGATTACGCTCAACTTTCAGCAAGCTTACACGGACTCGATACCATTTCTGAAGGTATTTTTTTACCAAGAGCCTCTTTAAAAACTATTGCAAGAACTGCTAAGATATATATTTTTCGAATCCTAACCCCCAAATTATGAGCCATGTAGTATCTTTTTAATTCTTCATATTTTTCAAATGCTGGTAGTAAAAATTTAGATACCAAGGTACCTAAACATCTGATAAGTATGTCAAGACTATGTCATGACTAGTTTGCAAAAAGTTTGTGATCAAGTATAGAACTCCCCAGATGGCTCCCGAGATATCCGTGGGGCAAGCCAAGGACAAATATCTAGTTTTTGCTTTTTGTTGTTTAATTTCTAAGACACCTTTAACTTTACGTCAGGAATCGCTTCAAATTTTCGGATTTTTATATCTAGAGAAAAAAATAGAGAAATGATGATGCTCTACATATTTATAATAAAGACAGGTTTGTAAAGAACTAAGAGAGCTACATTACCAGGAAAACTGCCTATTTTTAAGCATTCAGGATCTCATTTCTTAAATGATTCTTTTCATCGGACAGATCCTCCAAGCGTGTTTACCATGCCTGAAGCAGATCTGAAGAGAATCCTGTGGGTGCTCGCCCTTCCCATCATTACTGTGCTATATCTGACAATTCCAGACTGCAGGAAACTCTTTTGGAAAAAATGGTTCATGCTTGCCTTCTTCATGTCGGCAGTGTGGATTTCTGCTTTTACGTACATTCTGGTATGGATGGTGACCATAGTGGGTAGGTTTACAGCCTAGCTTTATTAGCCTGTCTGCTCTAACCAACACAGTAATACCAAGCATGATTTCAGGTGATACTTCTGCAGTGATCACATGCAAGATTGCAGATTAGAGTTTATTGCCTACAATACTTATTGAGGGCGGTCTAGAACAGCCAAGGGTATGTTTCTTAGAAATCACTTGAGGGTTGTGCTAAGCCAGCCTTAATGTCCCAAAGTGTATGACACGTTTAAATGTGTAGCTCCTGGCGAAGGTAACCTACACCTCCAGACTCTGAAAGGTTTTACCTAAGCATCTAATGCAAAACACTGCAGGCATGGTCACCTGCTTAAGGTAAAATCATTCTAATACAAGGATTATGTAAAAGGAAACGAAACCTAGAACCCTCAGACTGATAAGTAGTACGGTCTATAAAAGAGCTAATCTGGACAAGAAATGTTTTTAAACTAGTAAAGAAACTGACTTGCAAAATATCAGACTGTGGCATATTTTGACTGCATTCCTGAATAAGCCACAAGGCTGGGTTACAGAAATAAATAAAAAAAAGCTGACATTGTGATAGACTCTTTTCCATAACCCCCCATTTAATGTTTTTCCCCTGTATGTTCAAAAATAGGAACTAGAGTCTTTCCATATATCAGATGCCCTACAGCACTGGGCTGCAGTCCTCGGCCCAAAGACCCAACATTTGCCTGCAATTACATTATCTAGAAGAAACCTCTTGAAGGACTTCAAAACATCCTTTAGATTGTTTCTCATCTATCACTACAAGTTAAATAAATTTGAAACAAGTGTTGAGTAATAAATCCAGATTTTTGCCTTAAAAAAGTGAGCAATTATTGGCTCTATTTATTTTTAAGCTCAGGAAACCCAAGTAAAAAATTGTGCCTCACATTAAAAGATATTTTACAGCAGGAAAAAAATCACCACTTTCTACAAACCAAATGTCTCCCTTATTTTTTTTATCTGAATTTAGTTTTTAGAGAGCAAGGATTATCAGCAGACTCCAAGCCCCTCCGCCTCTGAGAACGCAAGTATTTTTTCCCAAGAGTAGATTATTGAGAGAGGTTAGTGCCTCATATGACTTCAAACAGCTCATGTGATAAAGATGCCAGAGTAACTGAAGGGATTAGGCTGGTTGAAGCTATTCCAAAGGGTTGTGGTTGTCAAGAATAGCAGAAGGAGAGGTTATATGGCCTTTCTTGTATTCAGTGACCAGGTTTTTCAAAGCTAAAAAGCTACCTCTGTTCAACTCATGCAGTTGAGGGATTGTCTGTTAAAATTATAGCTTCATTTATTAGCTCCTGGGCTGCTGTATTCCAATCAGGTCATTTTGATATTAAAATGTGATTCTCTAAAACATTACTGTGATCTCTTCCTAATTCAAGCTCAAAGAAATGAGCTGTTTGATTTGGATGTTTCTGATTACAGGGGAAACCCTGCATATTCCTGAAACTGTAATGGGCCTTACGCTACTAGCAGCTGGAACCAGCATTCCAGACACCATTGCTAGTGTTCTTGTGGCTAAAAGAGGTAAGCCCTTTGCATCTGTTAAGCTATCATGGCCAAGCTGGTAACCATATGACATTTTTTTCCAGTTTTTGACATCTAGATACCCACATTCACTAAATTAATAAGCTGGCTACATTCAGAACTGCAAGTGGTTCTTCCAATTCTTTTACCTAATGTACTGGGATGAGACTACTGCCTTTTGTTCTACTTGGGAAGCCGGTAGAAAGACAAAAATTAAAAGACAAAATACTAATTTCATTCTATTTTGGATGAGTCTGGCAGTGTCATTCTTAACATTGATCAGAAGGTATTCTCAAACTTGTTAAGGCCATAGATCAGTGGTGGCGAACCTATGGCACGCGTGCCAGAGGCGGCACTCAGAGCCCTCTCTGTGGGCACACGTGCCATCGCCCCAGCCCCACCTCCCCCCCACGGCCCCCTCCTCACCAGCAGCCCCCCTGGAGAAGAATCACCAAGGACATGGCAGCCGGGCAGCGGGGACAAGACACTGCACTCATGCCCCATCGTGCGCAGATGATGCTGCAGGACACGGGCAGAGGGTGTGGCTGCCATGGCGCTGCTGGGCTGCCTGGGCAATCTGCGGCGGGCTGTGGAGGCGATGGGTGGCCCTGTGGGTGGGTGGGAGGCAGGGGCAGTTTTTGGGCACTCGGTCTCTAAAAGGTTCGCCATCACTGACATAAGATTATGGACAAGATGTAGCAAGTGTCTTTTAAGCATAAAAACGGATTGCTGTACGTGCCGGGAGTCGCTTTCTGTGAGATGGGAGACCATCTAAATTTGATTAATAAATAAACTACTACAAGAAATTTCTTAAGGTTGACGTATTTAATATGTTTTATCTTGCAGGGAAAGGAGATATGGCCATGTCGAACATTGTAGGATCGAATGTGTTTGATTTGTTGTGTTTGGGATTACCTTGGTTTATAAAAACCGCCTTTGTTGACCCATCTGGTCCTGTGCTAGTGAACAGCACTGGACTGACTTATACCGCCATTTCTCTCATTTGCTCCGTTGCTTTTATATTCCTGGCTATTCACCTGAATGGCTGGAAATTAGACAAAAAGCTAGGAGCCATTTCCCTTCTGATGTACTTAGCCTTTGTCACATTATCAATTCTGTATGAACTTGGAATCATAGGGAACAATCCTATAAAGAATTGTGGCAACTAATTAAGTTTGGCTTTTGGTTTTGTATAAATTCACGAGAATGGGAGATACAGATAAGGAACTGAAAGGGCCAGTCTCTTTGTTTCACCAAGAAATAAAAACTCCAACATCTCCGTGGGCTGCAAAAATTATTTAGAGGAAAAATCCACATCATGACATTTAGAAGAAAAAGAAAACCACAGTTAATGCTGAATGCGATCAGGAATTAATAAGAGCAGCAACAACTATCAAAGCTTGTAAAACAAATGGATGAGAAGAGAAATGAAAAACCCGCAAGGCTTTACAATCGCAAGACAGGCAAAGCTTGACAAAAAACAAATTCCACTATACAGACTTTTATTAAACAGAGAAAATGGCTTGTTTTATTAAAAACAGTAGAACCATTCATTTAAACTGAATGACTAGAAACACTTAGCATGATTTTTAAAGAGGCATGAAACAGCCACAACTTCTGAGTTACAAGAGAAGATGGGGCGGTTTAGGCCACTGAACAAGTCAGGAAAGTTTCTCTTAAAAATCAAAATGTAGTTAAGAATTAACAAGTTCACACAGTATATTAAACACTATACTGTTAAAGGCTGAGGGGGTGAGGGTGAAGGGTTGTTTTAAAAGTATTGTTTTCTTCAACTCAAATAAAGCAGACAGTGTTACTAAAAATGACTTACTGGGAACGGGGAAAAAGGAAGGAGCTACAGGAAACTGTCTAAAGGAATGTACTTATAAATTACGCAATGCGATCCAAACGTACGTCAATTTCTCTGCCACTGATTTTTATGCCGTTCATTATTCTACAGGCTTTTTCTGCCGTTTCTGGCGAGTCAAATCTGACTGTTCCACAGCCTTTCGATTTTCCATTCTCCATTTTTATTTCTGCAAACATTACATGACCTGAAAAGTTAAAGCTCAGTTTAGCCAACCATGTGCAGATAGAAGTCCTATTACCATCAATTATTATTATTTTTTTTTAAAAAAAAATCGAGTTTACCCACTCTGGGAAAGTTAGGGTTATTGACGCAAAGGGTTAAACTATGCAGACAAGATTAAATTATCTAACAGCTTTTGTTATGCCATAGTATATGAGACAGTGTAGTCACACTGAAGGATTGCCAATGCTTACAGTATACCTCAAGTCTTGCTCATGCCACCTCCTTTAATCCCCCCATCCCTTTTGATTGGCTCCATATTTCCTCTTTATCTTCCCTGGATTCTTCACTTCAAAGCAAATATTGTTTCTACAGTTAGTTTGTTATGCAGTTGATAATAGATTTTGGTTGTACACTTGGGACTTTTTACTTTTTTAAGTAAAATGGAGCTGAAATATTTTAGTTCACATTAAGGCTCTTTAATGTTTCGGTCACTGGGGTACATCTAAATAATAACACCTATGGATTTGCTGAACTAAATTTAGGTTTGAGTAATGTTAAATACTTTTCAATATTGTGAGCCAGAATTTAAGGCACTGCTTATAAATAAAATAAGAACAAGGTAAAACAGGCCCTCTTGGGGCACTTTTAGTTGATCTAGTTAAGCCCCCATTCACATTAAGAAAGAAAAACAGAAACCAGGTTTAAAAAAAAAACAGAAAGCATGTCTTAAAACTATATACAAATATCACCTTATGAAGAACACATGTGAAAAATCTTGCTTTTTATATTTTTACTGCAGAATACAAAGGACATAGTGACTTTTTTGCTTTTTAAGGTTTTAGAACGAACAGATAACATATTTTTCTAGTAAAATGCTACTAAATATAAAATAAACGTATTTAAAGCTATTCGTGTTTATATATATATACCAAAACAAGTTTTTAGCTACAGGTTACAACATATTGAAGAAAGCAGACCTCTTTAATAAGTAAATAAATTGCATGTTAAGTCTTTTGGCAGAAATTGCAAAATCATTTTTCTCTTTGTGCAAGTTTTCAAACCATACAAAAAACCCTGACCTTTTGAGAAAAAAAGTAAGAGAACCCCTACCCCCTTTAAAATTAAAAAACAGTATTTGTTCTGAACCTGAATTCAATTTAAAACTAAATAAATGTTAACTTATCTATTGAACGGAACATAAAAAGATTATGCCCCCTCCCAAAGTTTTTCCCACCAGATGTTTGTATTTCATGTCAAAAGCTAAATTGTTACAATATTCAGATGTATCTAAAAAAGGTCTTATCAAATGTAAGGTTTTTCCATGGCATCCAACTGCATTTACAGCCACCACTAAGCTAATAAAGTTTTAAACCTAACTAATTTATAAATAAGCCATTAACAGCATAATTTGCATACTATGCTATGCAAAAAACAAACCATGCTATAGATTAGCATTATCCATGAAACATATTTACGGTATTTCAAGTACTATGGATTATTGCAATGTAACTAAACCCAGTCAAAGTCTGAATCATAGTTTGAAAAACCTCAGTTTGGGCAATCACATCTGGATCAACAAACTATAATTTAGGGTACTGTACTACCCTTTGAAATCACAGTGATAGCCCAGGGCCTGATCTCTGCAAATACATCTGGCCCATAATTCATGGCCTAAAGGAATCTTGTGTTGCGTCTTCCAAGTCCCTGTTCCTCAAATATCAGAAAGGGATTCAAAGCTTTTCAAGAGGGACAGTTCTTCTCAAACATGCACTTCAAGGGAAGACAACATCCCAAGATGCCCGCGCATGGGCCCTCATTTTTTTTTTCCAGCATCAAGGCAGACATCAAGAGGCTCCACAGAAGAGAAGAGAGGAATGGATCAGAAAGCCACCGATGCACACATTTGCTGTGGCTTGTTATTTCTGAGAGGCAGCCTTATTTGTGCCTAATACTTACCACACTGGCTGAATTTTTCCTTAAGCTTCTGCCAGGTCAAGTCAAAAGGAAGCTGAAATGAAGATAAGCATAGAGTAGTAACCTTCAGGAGAAAAAGCGGGAGAATTATGCTGCTCATTGGTTTGAATTCAGAGGCTTACATTTCTGACAAATATTTGGTTGCCTTTGGTGCCTACTCGGTCTCTCACACCACTTCCCATGGGGCCAGGCACAAATCCTCGATCCATATCAATGTTTCTCTCCAGGCCGCTTCCCATGGTGGGTCCCATCCGATCGAAACTGGTACTCATCCGATCCATCCCCATCCCCATCCCCATTCCACCGGTCATGCTATTCATGCCACTTATTCCGCTACCTGCAAAGACAGAGAAGAACAGAGGGAGGAAGAGTGAGTCTTCTAGAATCTCGGGGGGGGGGGGGAGAGAAAAATCAAGTGGAATTGATTGGTTTTTGTTTTGTTTTTTTTGCAAAGGGAAAGGCAGAGGCATTTCAGTAGAGGGAGCTAAGTAGTTCTTGTCAATTGCACTGACTAGTGAATAGTACCTTCTATTGGTTTTTCTATTATTATTCAATTATGTCTGATTCTCAAGAGACTTCCTGAACAAGCCCCTGCCATCACCTCCTTCCTTAGGACGGAGAGAAACTGACTGGCTCAATATCACCCAGCTGGCTTTGTATCCACGACGGGATTAGAATTCTAGCCTGCTGCCTTAACCATTACACCAAATTGGTTCTCTATAGAGATGTCAGGCAGATCCTGCTACACGTAGAGAGGCCAACCTTATCAATTCCCTACCTCCCACCTTCCATTCCATCTTTCTAGTTGGCTGCCATCAGTGCGTGGCCCAAGGAAATGGAAGTTGCCAAACACGGCAAGGTTGAATCTCAACCCAATCTGTCTCTACTGGTCCATGATTAGGAATAATTTCAATTGTCATTGCTCTCTAGCTAGTGAAAGCCGCAGCTTTATTATAAACTCATTAAATCATACAACAATCTACCAATTCCAGAAAAGAGGCTCACTCCATACGACAGTGATGGCGAACCTTTTAGAGACTGAGTGCCCAAACTGCAACCCAAAACCCACTTATGCATCGTCGAGTGCCAGGTGAGTGTGACCCATTGAGTGGGCGTGGCCCATTGGGTGGGTGTGGCTGAAGTGGTAACAGCAGACTGGGTGGGACTAAAAAGTTCAATCAATCAATTCCAACTTTGCAAGACCTTTTTTTTTCCCCACAAGAAGTTGAAATTGACTGATGAATCTTTTTTTTTTTTTTTGGCACATGGCGGTGGAGGCCTAAAGCGAAAAAGGTTTATAAAACCCAGCTGAAGGCCTAGGACTGGGGCGACAGCGCGTGTGCCCACAGAGAGGGCTCCGAGTGCCGCCTCTGGCACCCGTGCCATAGGTTCGCCACCACTGCCATAGGATGTTATTACTTAGCTTACAGCAGCCTTCCAGATATTCTAGTTGTTCTGCAGCTGGGGGTCAGACATCATCACAGCATGCTAAAAATGCATACTATAATTTAGGCCTCTCAGTCTGGGTGCCTGCTATTTGCTCAATGCAGGAAAGGACCGTATCTTAGTGAAACTGCACAGCCTTCAGATTCAATCTCTAAGATCCAGATGTAAAAGTCTCAGATTCAATCTCTAAGATCCAGATGTAAATGTCTCAGATTCAATCTCTAACATCTGGTTAGACATAAAGCCAGGTCCCTTTGTCCTTTTTTTTATGAAAAAGCACGGGTTTTCCAAAAATAAAGCATAATGGTTCTCATGAGCATGGAGCTGTCAATACATAAAGCCCTCAAGGAAAGAGAACGAGAGTATTTCCAGCACGGGTGACGGCACACAATCACAACTGCAGCGCAACGCATTAACGCACAGCCATTTCATTTATCGAACAGCCATACAATGACAACTCAGTGAATCTTCCTTTTACAAATATAAGCCTCCCATGTAATTTAGATGCATCTGAAGTATCATACAGCTAGAATATTTTTTTTCCCCCCTAGATCCACCTTAAATGCTAAGAAGCCTTTCTACAACTGGATTTATGCTTTGTTGGAAGGGATCAACCTACTCATTCCAGATCCTACTGGGCCCATATTAGAAGCTCCCATGCCTCCTGCAAAACCACCAACCATTGCACCACCTAAATGAGGATAGAAGAAAATGAAGTTACAT